GCTATTTTTCAGGTAAGATATTTATATACTCTACCCACTAAAGTGTTGAAAAGCAAAGATGTCACCTTGAAGACTAAGGTGCACCTGACCCAAGCCATGGTATTTTTCAATCGCCTCATATGCATGTGAAAGTTGGACAATGACGGAAGAAGAATTGATGCGTCTGAATTACGGTGTCGGTGAAGAATACTGAATACTATGGACTGCCAGAAGAACGAATAAATCTGTCCCGGAAGAAGTACAGCCAGAATTCTCATTAGAAGCAAGGATGGGCAAGACTTTGTCTCACATACTTTGGACAGGTTATCAGGAGGGACCAGTCCCTGGAGAAGGACATCATGATTGGTAGAGGGCCAGCAAAAAAGAGGAAGACCCTCAATGAGATGGGCTGACACAGTGGCTGCAACAATGGGTTCAAGCATAGCAACAATTGTGAGGATGGCACAGGACCTGGCAGTGTTTTGTTCTGTTGTGCATAGGGTTGCTAAGAGTTGGAACAGACTCGATGGCACCTAACAACAACAACAACAACAACAACAACTCCTATCACACTGTATCTATCAATAGATGAGAACAAACATTTAGTAGGCAAATATTGAGCACCTGCTCTGTGCTGGTCATTATACCTCTGTGTCACCTATTGTACTATATTTACGTACATGTTTTATCTACACTATCAGACTCTAGGAACTTGAGGACAGAATCCATGCAAAATCTGTCTTTGAATCTCCAGTAATATCTAGCACAGTATCTTGAGATCAATAAATACTTGCTGAATCAACAAGTCAAACACATCAATATCCAAATAAAGAACTGCCTTGGCTCTCAAATCTCTTCCTCTTAGTATCATAACATCAAAAAAAGAATCATTCTGAGTGCTTGCTGTCTGTGGAACCACCCCTCCCCCAACAAGCAAACAAACAGTATTGGTTATTCTTAACTAGTGGTTATGTAAAATATGGTCGTATATACTTGAAAGGTGAAAAATGAGAACAGTTGAACTGGTGTGTGAAACAGCAGCATCCAATCCAATATGCTCACTCAGATAAGACCACCAAATAAGGTTAATATATTTTCATGAAATACAATTATTTTTCAAACAAATATTTATTGAGAGGCTACTTATGGGCCAGGTATTGTGCCAGGTGCTAGGGCTACAGTGGTGAGCAAGAAAGGACTTGCTCTCATGAGCTGTCTGTGGGAAAGACAAACTATTAAATAGACAATAACAAGAAAGTGTGCTAAGGGCAAAGACTGGGGACATGCCTAGAAGAGGCAGCTAATCCAGGTTTGGGAGGAGTTAGGGATATATGGGGAGGCTAAAAATGGCTTCCAGAAGAGCAGTAAATTGAGACTTGAAGGATGAGGGAAGGGTAGACAAGATAAGAGAGAAGTCTAGGCAGAGAGTATTATTGGTGGATAACTCCACCCTTATTTTAAAAGATTTTTCTAGAAAGCTGATTATATCCTTCATAGAACTTTTTAATCTGCCTTTGACAGACAACTCATAATGCATAACACCTTCCTCCCCTAAAGCCCAAGGCCCAATCCCCCCATCTCCAACTCATGAACTAGACTGTTGAAATGATCATCAACAATCTTATATTGTCACAAAGCTGCCTCAGAGCATAAAGTAACAAGAGATCATTTTTCTTCTCTATTATTTTCTGTTAAAACTGTTAAACACATAGGTATACAATGGATCATGTATATACAATTAAATTTCTTCACTGATTTATAATTATAATCCTATGACATTTAGTAGGATCTTGTACCAAACAGGAATATACTGAATCTATATTGATAAGGAGAACACTCCCAATGAATCCACCAGGAAAAAAAAAAATCCACCTGATTCTTTAAGGCAACAATTAATCTATAGCCACAATAAAACATGACTAAGCACTCACCCAAAGGCTGTCAGTTTGACCCAACCCAGTGGCTCCGCAGGAGAAAGACCTGGCATTCTGCTTCCATAAAGATTACAACCAAGAAAACCCTATTGGGCAGTTCTACTCTGTTACATGGGGTCGCGTATGAGTCGAAAATCGACTCAACAGCACCTAACAACAATAAAAAACAAACTCGACTCGACAGCACCTAACAACAACAATAAAAAACAAATTCTGGTCCAGACAATATTTTAAAGCTTTATAATTTTATTATGTCTAATTCTCCTTACATAACAAAACACAAAAAAGGAACTAAATGAGGAAAGTTGTATGAAAATAAGTATAGGTTATGAAGAAAGGGACTGAGGCATTAACAAGCTCTATTTAATTACTAAAAAGTAAATGTTTTCAGATGAGTGACGGTCAATATCATTTTTATTTGTTTATCCTCATTTCACTTTAATTAAAAAGTGCAATGGCACCCTTAAGCGCTTTTTTAGCTCACAGATGCTATTATGCCTTAGAGAGGTTTGTCTGGTTGTACCTCTGGGAGTTGGCTTGTACTTATCTAAACTTCACATATAATTAAATGTTCTCAGTAGGAGCAGCTTTAGTTACAGCTGAATAGAGTTCCAGGAAACACCATTAGGAGTTTCACTATTTACTCTGCATCAATATTGGCAGCTGGTGCATTTCTGTCCAAGGTGAGCACTCCTTCCGTTGCAATGACCAATTGGCCCTTCCTCCTTCAGTTTGATTTCTTACAACAGTACAAGTCAAATTTCTATTTAATTTTTTGTTACTTTATCATGGAGTAAGGAAACTACTTTATAGTCAGAAGTATACTTTTAAAGTAAGAAGGCTACACAAAAATCTCAAAAATTTTTCAAGTACATCCTTCTAGCCAGTTAGTTCACTATACTGAGATATCTCCCTCTTTAATCTTACATTGCTGAAAACTGAGCACTTCCCTCTGACCCTCCTATCTTTAAGGAGCCCTGGTGGCGCAATGGCTTAGCACTGGGCTGCTAACCGAAAGGTCAGCAGTTCCAACCCACCAGCGGTTCCAAGGGAGAAAAGACCCGGCGATCTGCTCCTGTAAAGATTACCAAATCCAAAACCAAACCCATTGCTGTTGAATTGATTCCCATAGCCAAGAAAATCCTATTGGGCAGTTCTACTCTGTCATATATGGTTACTATGAGTAGGAATTGATTCAACGAAACACAACAACTCCTATCTTTGGCTACAACCTAGTAAAAACGGCTGGGTTGCCAATGATCCATCCTAGTTCATTCAAGATTCCAACTCCCATTTCCAGGATTAGAATATTCACAATACCTGCTGTTTCAAACACTGGAACTCTCTGGTTTCATCAAAGTTGAGACTTGCTTTGGCTAGAAAGTACTAATTTCATTTTTTTCGATTTCTAATTAATAAAATAAAAACTAAACAAACTTGTTTCTCACTTAAGTGAACAAAATCAATGAAATTATCATACTGAGTTTCTGCTGGGCTGAGCACAGCTGCGGGGTTGCTACAGCAACTCTTGTACACTGACCATGGATTGCCCCTGTGCAGGAAGGAAATCTTTTGCTCCACCCCCTGAGGAGTCAAAAGCTCTGGCAAGCAGGTAGTCTGCTAGCAGAGAGCCATTTTTAGTTCAGTAGCTGTGATGGAGCAACAAGACACCCTTCTTCATAGTCTCTCAGTAATAAATGTCACACAACCAACCAAAACAGACTCCAAACCAGGGAGCTGTGCGTGATTATGTATTTCTGCACCATGGTAGCACTGTATTCTTTACACCATTCTACTACTCCTGAGCTAGAAAAGAAGCCAAAGAAACTTCCTCCTAGGGACATGAGGGGAAGGGGAGCAACCAAGCAAATTAGAATATTCCCACTTTTATGAAGAATACATTTAGGCTTTTGCTTTCAGTCTTTAACCCATGTAAACATGTTCTACAATAATTTTTTTTTCCCAACATTTGTTGAATTTTCACTTACTGCCAGCCCTTCTGCTGGGTGCTTTCACATGTTATTTCATTTACTCTCCTCATAACAACCCTGTGAGGTAGGTATTAGTATCATCCCCCCTTTTCAGATGACAAACCAAGGCTCAAAAGTTATTTGATTTGACCTAGCTTCTAAATGGCAAATGCAGAATTTGAACCTAAGTCTCCTAACTCTGAAGTCTCATGTTTTGTCTACTCTGCTACACTGATTTTGCAAGAAAACTCTTAATTCTAACTGAAATATTCAAGCATTTCTAAAATGAACTAAAAATTCTTATGGTAATTTGTTTTAGCAATAAACTTTCACAAGCAATGACTTCATTACTGATAAACTAAATAAACAATATGAAACCTGTGAGACCCGGAACTCGATGGGACTGCCTTGTTTTTCTGGGTCTTGCAAGTTTTCTGCCTTTGACAGGGTGCAGTCACCACTATTCTATTGCCCTCTATTAGTGGAAAATATTTGAGTTTTCCTTCTCTGACAGGTTTCTAGCTTACACAGGTTCTGGCTTTCCCAGGCTTTACTGTATACTCAGCCACTTTCCTAAGTGCATTAAAAAGAAAAGCCACAGCAAGATACGGCTACACTATGGTCCTAATGGGTTTTTTTTTTTTTTTTTTTTTGGCTAAGTTTAAACCAGCCCACATATCTTGAGGAGGAAAGGCAAAGCAGAAAGTAGGGAAAGTGACAAAACTGACTTTAGATGAAGCACCCTGTGGACCATCTCCAGGGCTGAAGCAGCTGACCGGGGAGGGGGCATGAAAGTGTGTGAAGACATGTGTACTATTTAAACTACAGGGAAAGAAACTTTTATCTCTGCTCTTAATTACTTTCAAGGGCAATTTGAAGTATTGATTTGCCCATTTTCAATCATCTCTCCAATTCCAGGTATGGAAAGGTCTTCTAACATACCATCTCTGCTCACGATCAGAAGGAATCATGGTTCTCCTCCTCCCTAGATGGTCCACAATTACCCCCTTTCTCCAACACACGCCTTTGTGGAAATTCCTAGGAGAACGGGGGGGGGGGGAACCCTTTTAAACATTGCTTTTCCTAGCTCCCCCTGACCTAAAAGTTCTCTCCCACCTATAGCCTGGACATTTTCCCAGCTGTGGATTCAGACGATGTACCACTACAACTCTGTCCCTTCGGAATCACCATCTCTTAAACAGCAATCCTATATTCTGAGTTCCTCCCTTTTATTATGCCTTTTCTGTCTGTCCTTTATTTTTACTTCAGTTGATTCCTCCAGTTTTCTAGTTGCCACAAAGAATTCAAGTGAGGAACCAAAATAGATCACAAGAGTCATAGTAGTTTCTAAAAGCTTCTGACAAGACAGGTCAACAAGTATAAATTTATTATAAAGCATACACACATAATTCATCATGACATCACTGATTTAAAAATATAAAAATGCACCATATTTCCCTGAATTTTTGATTAGGTAATAAAATGTCCAACTTCCTGTTCCTATACTTTCTTATAAAAATATGCCAGTTTTGTGGGTCTTGGAAGATCACACTCTCAGTTTACACTGATGAACACTATACACAATGTACAGAATCAAAGTCATTTTATATAGTTGTAAAGAAGTAAGATAAAACAGATAACTGGTGTTAACACAACTAAATTTTTAAGTGAATGCAACTAGAAGATGAAAGCTTCTGCAGTTATATGATACTGTCTTCTAAAAATTAAGTAACGATGGGTTCCTATTTGTAACTGTCACATAGACACTTGGGTTAAAGGCCTCTTCATAAAACTGCAGACCTATTCAGCTTTTCCCTTCTCAAAAAAGAAAAATATTTCACAGCTCTAAAATAAGGTAGGGAAGAAACACCAGGAAAGTTAAAAGACCTTACCATACCCTATCGATTTTACATTGGTCCTTAAGGTTACAAAATCTGTTTCCATCGAGTTGATTCTGACTCATCATAGTGACCCTATAGGACAGAGTAGAACTGTCCCACAGGGTTTCCAAGAAGCGGCTGGTGGATTCAAACTGCTGACCTTTTGGTTAGCAGCCTGAGCTCTTAACCACTGTGCCACCAGTGTTCCAAGGTCACAAGCCTACCAAATTAAAATGGGAATGGTACTTGTTTCTCAAATTTAACTCGTTTGAATATAGTTCATCCAATCCAATTTCTTAGATTTAGTTTAGTGAACAATGTTCTAAAATATGATAAGATTAGGCATTTCAATCAAAAGGAAAACAAAAAAAGCAATCATTTATTATCTGGGACTCTTAATAGGTCATTAGGCATTAATTTAAAAACACTACAACTTCACACTTTATAGAGGCTAGAATCATAATTCAAATTTTCATAAAGGTATATTAAATTAAAATCACTTTAGACAATTCAAGATCTCATTGACAGAGTTCATTTAAGGTGACAGTTTTGCTACTGTGTTACTGCTCCCACATGATATCATCTTTGCTCAATTTCATTTGAAGATTACGGACTCGTTTTGGATGAAAGTTGCTGTTTTTCTGAAGAGGGCTAGTTTCATGAGAACACTTTCTAGGGCTATTTTTCATGTTCTTTGATCCCTTAGGGTTGCTATCTTCTTGCTGAATACCTGAAGCTTCACTCATCTTTGAGTTTTGAAGTTTTTGTTGAAGTTCACGGACCTGAAGAGAAAAAAAAAAATCTAAAATTTTAGTCTATAATATACTGAAAATATAACCCAAAATAGATGGATTGGATAGAAAGCTTAAAGATTACACAAAATTAAAAAGTTTAATTCAGTAACTTTTTATGTATTAAACAACCATTATACGTCCAACAATGTGCTAGTCAGGTAGAAATATAATGAATAGAACAGTATTTGCTCTCAAGGGGCTTACTGCTCTTATGAGTGGTAAGCATATACGCAACAACTAGAGGATAAATAATTCAAGCCAGGAAAACTTCGAGGAAGACAAAAGGTGTATATTTGAGAAGGCCAAAGTAGGACAAGATCAATGTGGGCTGGAGAAGTTGAGGGGAAGGTTGCACGGAGGATATGAAATGATAAAAACTGGAAAGCAGAGAGGAACGAGAAGGACCTTTCAGATGATATTAGCAGCAAAGCAAAGGATTGTTGCTAGGAATGAGTACCGAGTTTCTATAATTGAATATATTTTACATATATATATATATATATATAAAATGTATTCCTTAATTTAAAGCATTACTGAATAGCAGTTAAAAAAAAAAAGTCAAGGGAATAATCTGATTTCTTTGAAGAGTGTCTGGTAATAATTGGGTAGACAGAATTAAACAAAACTCATTAACCAGCCAAAACTCATTTCTTCAAAGTCTATCCCATTACCTAGTCTATTTCACTTATGCACAGGGCTCTGGGAAAGGCCTAATTTGTAGAGCTGGTCCAGATACTGGGTGAGTACCTGGTGCTCTATTTGCTTAAGAGACAACTTTTATTACAGATATTAAATTTAACATGATATAAGTCATGGAAATTTATGCTGCAAGAGCTGTTATGAAATATGAATCACGTTTTTCAAAATACAATCCATGAACCAACTGCCTCAGTTTTAAAAATATGATTATTCTATTCCTTATATGTTTCTCCATGCAATTCCAAGAAAGTATACAAGTTGTATAATCTTTAACAAACACCATCATACAAAAATATTACTTACTATAGCTTTAAAAGCTAATAAACTAAAAAAAATTGCTTCAAAATGTTCATTTATTTACTGGTCATAAGAATGAAGGTGGTAAAATTCTGCATCCTTTATTACTGTCCTATACAAGAAACAAACAAACAAACAAACAAAAAACCCAAACCCATTGCCGTTGAGTCAATTCCAACTCATAGCAGGAGGCTTATTAGGTTAATGTATCATCAACTTTTATGAATGCTGATTATACTGACAGGAGGAGTAGCTACATAAAGTGACTCAAGGGCTCCTGGAACCCAGGACTCAAGCTATGGAGTCACTGACTTGGGATAAGATATTATATTCCATAATTCTTCTGTTAAAATATTAAAACTACTAAAGCTATTCTTAGTTATTAAGACTTCACACACAAGTAGAGTCTCCCTCACCACCCCTGCCCCACTCACTATAGCCAGCCAAGCACAGATCTCTAAGGAATAGAACACAGTACAGCTTGTTTTGGGAAAGAAGGAATAGTGGTTTTAGGGTTGGAGTACTGCTTGAGGAGCAGGTTTATGTACAGGACTAAATTAGAGACCTGTCACATTACAGCATCATTAAGGCATTAGAAGAGGGAAGGATAAAGGAAAATAATGCTAAAAGAATAACTTGGAAAGCTGCAAAGACAAATTTAACCTACCTCACAATTTCCCCAAAACCAAAATCTGAATACATAACTAAACTTTCTTGTTCCTTTTTCTTTATGTTCCTTATGTTATCTTGGAGAGTGATGTAGGAGGCCCTTGCAGTTCCAAAGGGATAGATGGCTCTATTCTGTAATAGGTCCAAGTGACTACTGTTTATAGCCTTTTCACAAAGCCACACATACAGTCCTCAAATTTGGCCGGTCACATACAGAGATAGAACACCAAATCCACAAATAGTATCTTTTTATTAAAATCTTTTATTAAAACCTTCTTACACTGTTTTGATGCTTCTTTAGTTTGGAAATTTGTTCTGCTTTAATTCCCATTTTCTTCACTAAATGCTCTAGTTCACTTTCTATGTCTTCACAGACTGAATGGCTTTGAGTTTCCTTCATTTGATTTAGTAGTTCTTGATGCTCCCTATGAAAGAAAAGCAAATATCAAACATTGTTATAGTGTATGGTCTATGTCTTTGCCATAATTAAACAATTTTCTATTCACTCATAAATTTTAGAGTTAAATATTAACTCTTCCAAGAGCATCTCCTTCTTTAGTGTTGTCTAATATAAGGTTGCTATGAGTCAGAATCGACTTGATGGTAACGGGTTTTTTTTTTTTTTGGTTTGGAATTAAATCTATAGGGGCAGTGGTGGCACAGTGGTAGAATTCTTGCCTTCTATGTGGGAGACCCAGGTTCTATTTCCAGCCAATGTACCTCACGTGCAGCCTCCTCCCATCTGTCAGCAGAGGCTTACATGTTGCTATGATGCTGAACAGGTTTCAGCGGCACTTCCAGACTAAGATGAACTAGGAAGAAAGGCTTGGTGATCTATTTCTGAAAATCAGTCAATGAAAACTCTATGGATCCAGCAGTCCAATCCACAACCGATCATGGGGACGATGCAAGGACCAGGCAGCATTTTGTTCCATTGTGCATGAGTTCATGATGAGTTGGGAGCCAACTAAATGGCAGCTAACAACAACAACAACAATTAAATCTATGGTAAATATAACCAGTCTCTTGTGATCTGAAGGTCAGACGTATTTAGAAGTATCTTAAGACTTCATGGTTGTTGTGTTGTTAGTTGCTGTCCAGCCGATTCTGATTCATGGCAATCCCATGTGTGCAGAGTAGAACTGCTGTGACCTTTGAGAATCAGATCTCCAGGCCTGTCTTCTGAGGTGCCTGTTGGTAGGTTTGACTGTAGCACCATGTTGCCCAGAAGTCTCCGCCTGTTGGTTGGTTTGAACTGTCAACGTTTCAGCTAGCAGTTGAGCACCACCCAGACTTAGGCCCTTAAGCAATCGTAAAAAACAAAATGAATTCTTCATGTCCCTAGCTAAATGTTCTCATGTCATTAGCTAGAGGCACCAGAGGGCTCTTTAATTCCAACTCTGGAACTTTTGATGTAGAGAGAGAGAGGATCTTTGGAAGAATTCCAACTGTAGAAGTATTTGCCTGAGAAATTCCTGCATTTCATGTTAGTCTCTTCAATGAAGTACTCTCAACAGACCTAGTTATATCTTCTACAGTTGTCCTAGTTTGACTAGCCGGCAAGCCAAATCACATATGTTCTAGAATTGAGTACACAGTAAAATTGGGGGCATAAAATATGTATCCCATACAGTATCTTGCTTACTATGAATGTTTCAAAATTTGTAATGCTGACTAGCTAGAGTTTAAAACAAGGAAATGAATTCCTACTTGTCTAATCAAATCATTCATTTAACTGAATTTTTTTTTTAAAGCATAACTTTTCTTATAAAAGCTTTTGTGATTTATAATCTAAAATCACCAGACCCAATTTGTTAGAATGACAATAATAGCTATCAGTCAAGAGCTTGGGAAAACAGAAACTCCTCAGACTGGAAAAGTAATAATTACATACAATTGAAAATTTAAATAGTAATAATAAATGCAATGAAAAATCAGTGACAACAAATCTGCAGATCAAGATAAAATAAGCACAAATGGCCAACCAAATAAGGCCTTTAAGAATTTATAAGTGGAGAAAAATGATCTCTAAAATCTTTTTACTTTTCCTTGATAAAGAATAAAAATACTTACATATTCATTTGGTCCAGCTCATCTTGCATTGCCATCAAAAGTTCAGACAAATTATCACAAATGGAGACAGACTTTTCTGGGTCAGGAGGTACAGCTTTACATTGGGGAGTTGTACTAGGCTTATGGAGACATCGAGGCTCAGGTGCTTTAGAATGCTTCTGAAGGGTGTGCGGGCCACAATCTCGCATCATCTGCAGGAGGTTTTGCACACTTGCATTCCCAGAATGGCTTGTACTGACCAACTTAAGGGGAAAAGCAACAGCTGAGAACAATTTCAAATGACTGGTGGTATTTAAATACTACTTAAAATAAAGCAGGAGTTTGTTTTGAACAATTATCTTCATTTTTTGCCCCCTACCTTCCCAGGCACAAAAGGCGGTGCTCCAAACTTTAGATAACTTTCCTGAGGCAGTCCTCTCTGTAAACATTTAGTTTTCTAAAGAGTATAAGGGAAAAAGTAAGAAAACAAAACAAAACTCTGAAAACTCAACAGTACAAACCCAAACAATCCAATCAGAAAATAGGCAAAACACATGGACAGATATTTCACTGATGAGGACATATAGATGGCAAATAAACACATGAAAAGAAATTCATCATTAGCCATTAGGGAAACGCAAATTAAAACTCAATCACTATCTTCTTATCAGAATGGCCAAAATAAAAAATAGTGACAACACCAGATGCTGGCGACGATGCAGAGAAACTCGATCACTCATCCATTGTTGGTCGGAATGTAAAATGGTACAGCCATTCTGGAAAACACTTTGGCAGTTTCTTATGAAACTAAACATCTAATTAAGAATATGACCCAGAAATTGCACTCTTGGGCATTTATCCCAGAGAAATGAAAACCTATGTTTACACAAAAACCTGTAAACAAATGTTCATAGCAGCTTTATTTTTAATAGCCAAAAATTGAATTAACCCCAAATGTCCTTCAGTAGGTGAACAGCTAAATACACTGTGGTAGATTCATACCATGAAATACTATGCAACAATAAAAATAATATATTGATACATGCAACAACTTGGATGGATCTCCAGGGAACTAGGGGAGTAAAGAAAGCCAGTTCCAAAAGGTTACATACTGTATGATTTCATTTGTATAACACTGTTGAAATAACAAAATTATGGGTGGTGCAAAACAGCTAAGCCCTCAGCTGCTAGCGGAAAGGTTGGTGGTTTGAACCCACACAGAGGTGCCTCAGAAGACAGGCCTGGCAATCTGCTTCCACAAGGTCACAGCCTTGAAAACCCTGCAGAGCACAGTTCTACTCTGACACACATAGGGTTGCCATGAGTCAGAATTGATTCAATGGCAATCAACAACAACAAAAAGCCAGTCCCAAAAGGTTATATACTATATGATTCCATTTATGTAACATTGTTGAAATAACAAAATTATAGAGGTGGAAAAAGATTAGAAGTTGCTGGGGGTTAAGGACGGGGGATGTATGGTTATAATGAAGTAGCATGAGGGACCCTTGTAGTGCTGGAACAGTTTTGTATCTTGATTGTGGTGATGATTACATGAACTTACACATTAAAAAAAACAAATCCAGAGAATGATAAACACTAATTCAGAACTATGGATACCCCTGGGGGGCAGGGGATGCAATTTAGAAGGGGCATATGTGGCGCTTCAACAGTGTTGGTAATGTTCTATTTCTTAAGAAGGGTGGTGAGTACATCACTGCCAATTTTATTATTATTCTGTAAGTAGGCATTTTTTATTATATACACTCTTTGACAAAAAATTTTAAAAAATTGCTAACTACATTCTTAAACTCAAAGAATAATTTAATTTATTTTGCTAATCACTTTTACTGGAGAGATTGAACTGTTTTTATTGAAAGGATTAAACATCCCAATTTGTCCATGACTGAGAGAGTTCCTGGGAGGCAGGACTTTCAGTGCTAAAACCAGGAAACGCTCAGACAAACCAGGATGAGTTGGTCACCCTAGTTAACACTGTAGCAAGAGAATAATCCACAAATTGACAATATTCTATAAGGAAAACAAAATATTCCCAGTTCTAAATGGAAATTTAGATGCCTTAACTGTTATAATCACTAGATATTTTAAAAAGCTAATTAAATAAAATGGATTAGAGGTAGATAAATCATAAAAGTTTGTGAGTCAGTTCTTATTCTCTTAGACTTACTTGGTGGCCTTGGATATTCTGTGCCTTAGAAATAGGAATTTCAAGTAATAGAAAATGATCTCGTCTAATGCTACTTCAAGCAGTTATAATTAAGAGCAAAAGAAATTTAATTTAATTCTTCTAGTCATTGAACTGAATGAGGTCTCCAATTACAGTCTAACCTTTTAAAAAAATAAGGAAAGTGTCAGAAAGAAAGGCTTCCATTATCTTCTTACAATATTTGGACAGTCTCTAGATTCTTTACTTCCACACTCACCTTTTCATACTGCTGTCAGTTACCGTCTAGAAGTACAGCTCTAATCATGTCCCTACTCTTCTCAAAAACTTTCAATGGTTTGTAACTGTTTACAGAATAAAAGTTCAAATTCTTAACATGGCATTGGAGGTTGGCCATAATCTTCCTCCAAGTTATATTTTCAATTTTAACTAACTATGCCCCATTTTGGAGTCTCTGGGTGATGCAAACGGTTAAGAACATGGTTACTAACTGAATGGTTGGCAATTACAATCCACCCAGAGGCGCGTCGGAAGAAAGATCTGGGCATCTACTTCTAAAAAATCAGCCATTAAAAGCCCTATGGAGCACAGTTCTATTCTTGAAACACATGGGGTCACCATGAGTTGGAACTGACAAGATGGCAACTTATTATTATTTTTTTTTAATGCCCCATCTCATCCCCAATACTGAACTATGACCTATTGGTTCCCAGAAAAACAAATTGTTTCTTCAGACTGTAATGCACTTTTCCTCTTCACCTCTGTCTGTCAATACTTATTAATTCTCTAAGGCTGCCTTTAATGCTGCTTCTTGCATGACTTCTCACATATTTCTTCATCTGCATAGCACATAATATTTTGCTTATGCCTGTATTAAGCTTTTATTATACTGTGTATTATATTTGTATCTTTATTTGATTCTCTATGTTTTATGTATCTCTTTATCACCTACAGGTACCAGTGTATGCAAATCAAAAAGTATTAAGTGTGGTGAACTACTTCCAGGATATGGAGAAATAGTCTCAGGGGGATGAGCAGGAATCTCATAGAGGCCTCGTAAAATCTGACACTACCTTCAGCAACATTTGTGCTCCTTCCATCTTTAAAGGGAGGCATTATTATCTGTAGGACCCATGAACTTGAGATTTGAACTAGGTATTTTTTTTTTTGTAGGTTTTTTTTTTGTTGTTGTTGAGGTGAAATTCATATACCATAAAATTAACCATTTTGAAGTAAAGAATTCAGTGGCATTTAGCATTCAAAATGTTGTGTAACTACCACCTCTATCTAGTTCCAAAACATTTTCATCATCTCAAAAAGGAAACCTCTCACCCATTAAGCAGTTGCTCCTAATCTTCCCTCTCTCCAGCCCCTGGCAACTACCAGTCTGTGTTCTATTTCTATGGATTTACCTATTCTGAATATTTCATATAAATGGAATCATACAATATGTGACCTTTTATGTCTGGCTTCTTTCAGTTAGCATAACGTTACTGAGAGTCATTCACTTTGTAGCACGTATCAGTTCTTCACTCCTTTTTAAGGCTGAATAATATTCTATTGTGTATGTATATACCACAATTTGTTTATTCAATCATCCACTGATGGAAATTTGGGCTGTTTCCACTTTTTGGCTACTGTGAATAGTGTAGCTATGAACATGAGTGTACATGCATTTGTTTGAGTTTTCAATTCTTTTGAGTATATACATAGAAGTGGAATTGCTGGGTCAAGTGGTAGTTCTCTGTTTAACTTTTGGAGTGAACTAAGTACTTTTATAAAGTGATTTTACAATTAATGACTCTTTCTCTTCTTTTCCAGGAGCTCCCTTTCCTCTCCTTCATTTCTTTTCTGTTACTTCTCTCCTTGTATCTTCACTATTTTTACAATGAATAGGTAAATTGTTTAAAAATAATTTCCATTAACACACCAGACAACGGATGCCATAAAGCCTAAATATAAAAATAGGTCAATATTTTTTCCACTTGCATGTTATTTACACTGGTTGTAAATAACTTGCATAAACAAGAAACAAAGCAAATATTTAAGGAAGGAAATAAGCAAAAAACGTAAAGTTGCATTGGGAAAATGTTTTTATTATTGTAGCTTGAAAATTCTTTAAAAAAAAAATTACAAAAGATGAAGCCAGAGTATTGAACAGTAATTCTTATTTATGCAATAAAAGAGTAGCCAAAGATAAGTATAATGGTCTCTCCATTATACTGCCCACAAGGTGGGCCTATGTTGGTGCCCAGAATTCTCAAACAGCATCCCTGGCTCCCACAGTGAATGGCACACAGAAACCCTCACTACATGCATATGAAGTAAATAGTAATAGTAGTCATCAAAACTATAATTTCAGAGTCATAAGATTAAAAGGGATTAAAATTATTCTTCTTGGCATTATATATAATTAAGAAGGTTTAATGCAATATATCCAAAACATCAAGTCATCTAAACAAAATATTGATCAATCTATAAAGTACTAACTCACCAATTTATCCCTATTTTTAGGCAATCCTAAGGATATAAGCATAGAAAGAACAAATGATTATAAATTCCCTATAGGAATGATTTTACAGACCTATAATTTAATATTATACCCTTGTTTTTTTTTAATGCACGTATTATATAAAACTGCTATTTCAGTCAGCATCTATATTACATTGTTTAGTGTCTCTTTTATAAAGTATCACAAAATAAATTTCTCTAAGAGTTTAGCACTAGGAAAAAGTCTGTCTTTCTAGAAAAACTGGAATTCTTCCTGTTATTTCACTAAGACAGCTATATAGCCCATTATACATGCTCTTTTTTCCTCTGGTTGTCAAACTCATTGCTAAGTTTTGTGCTCAACTGTTGTTACTTTAACCTAGGTTTTATGGAATTCTCTGTTCTTATACCTAACACAATCATCACTTGACTCATGCTTTTATTCCCATTTGGTAGCACTGCATATCTTTGATTATAAATCTCTTCAAGTCTTTCTTAGAAACAGGTAGGTATAAACATTAAAAAAGTGAATAAGTAAGTATTAGCAAATAAGGATAGAATGTTGCTTGAAAAACAGTTTTATACGCATACCTTTGAAGATTTCTTCTTTCCCTTGGAGTGTTTTGGATTTGAAACAGAAGACATTAAAATTCTGCTGATTTCAAGTCCAGTTTGAAGCTATAATGGTAAAGAAAAAACATAAAATTGATTTGTAACAAGCGTCTCAAAAACATAAAAATGTGAAATCAGGTTATAAATTTATAAATACAAAAATGTTTTTTGAAGAAGAAAAGAAAACCTTTTTTTGGTGAAAAGTTATTAGTCTCTTAGTAATTACAACCATTTTATATTTATGAGAATACATTATTTAATACATCTATGAAAACAATCTATCCCAGGAGTCCTTTCAATTGCGAATATATATATATATATTTGTCAGAATTTCAAGAAATCAAAAAAAAAAAAACCTCTTGGTAATGCATCCAAGTATATATGAATATACTGGCTAACTGATTGAGAGTTTCATTATTATAGCAAAAAGAGACAAAACTAACATTCTAGGAAGCGTAAATTAGTCTAGAACATAGATTTCAGTTAATGAAAAGTATAATAAGGCATATGTGGCTTACTGTGATAGACTATGTAGTATTCTATTTACCTCAGAAGCTTTGTCCTGAAATAGCTTACGCTGATGTTCTTCTTCCTTAAGTTTTTCCTCTAAATGTTTAATCTTGTCCTGCAAAAGAATAAAAAACTAGGATTGTTATATAAAACCTAGAGCCAAATATCTTTTGTGCCTTTTCCAAATAGAGTCCTAATGGGTATTGATTCTTAAGAGTTTGGCAAGCTAAAGCAGAGTGAAAGAAAAAGGACTTGCAAAAGATGCCAAGATCTTTCTTGGCTTTCTTCCTAGGCTTCTTTACCTGCTATTACATATGAGAACAAAGGGAAAGCAAAGAATGTAATACACTCATAGGCTTTATTAAGTTCCAGCAACAAAGTCATATGATGAAACTTTTGGGGGTGTTAAAGAAGACGTATTAGAAATATAAGATAGGGTCCTTGTTACTTAAGAGTTTATACTCTACTTAGGGAAACGAGAGTGGCATACATGAAACAAACAACAAAGCAATGTTTATGATCTGATCCAGACCATGTACACACTATATAGCCTTATACACAATATTTAAGTATTACATCTTCTACCTGTGGTGTAACTCAGAATAGGACAGTACTAGTTCAAAGTGGGAGTTTCCTGAGTGTTGGAGAACTCACGGAAGGCTTCATAGAGGAAACAAGACTTGAAGAAAGTTCTATGAAATTGATAGGTTTTGGGAGGGGAAAAAGGAGGGTATTTGGAGGGGATGTAGGATAGGCTTAATTTATCTGCAAATGGTGAAAGACAATCTTTTCAATACCTTTTTAAGTAAATTATCTAACAAATGAAAATATTCTGCCTTGCTAGAAGTCACAATTACAATATTACGTTCAAAAGGCAAGCTCATTCATGCCATGACAGAACACGTTAGCTTTCCATCTTGGCAGACAGGAATTCACATCTGAATTACTATAAATGAAGCTTTAGGAATCTAATACAAAATTTACTGTATATTCACATACAAAGCCAATTTAACACCAAAGATTTATTCCTGGCATCATCATTTCAAAGAAACAAGTGGAGGCTTACCTCGGCAGTTTTCTGAGTTGTTGTAAGTCTAAAACATTCTTTTTCTAAGACGTCAAGCTTGTCAAGTTTTGCATGCAGCTTCAAATGATCTTGCTCTTTTTCCCTTTGAAGCTGGGCCTGGAAAGGATAAAAAACAAAATCTGAATTTGGCAAGTGATGCCAATGGCTCAAGAATAATACAATTTCTGAGTATCCAAAGCACAATATAAATCTGTCATAAGAAACATGTGCATACTTTAGGTGCTTACAAGCAAAGAACAAAAAAATTGAATGCTTTTAAGGAGCAAATACAATGTGCAAAAACAAACAAACAAAAAAGAAGTGCTAAGTTATCATCAATGGCACATCTATGCTTCTTTATATAACATTTTTACTAAGGGCAAAACCACATTAAATAAACAGTCATTCACAAGGTAACCGAACCTACTCATAGAAAATCAGCTATGAGAGGAATAAAGCATAAAAAGAAGATGGAAAAAAAGAAAGCAACATGTAGAAACTGAATAATGAGGGCAGGATTTCCCTTCTCCTTATATCAGGTATTTGGAATTTTAGGGTCACTTTGTAGCTCTTGGAGATAATGAGTGATCCAGCTGCTAACAGTCCTCCATCCACTTGAGAAGCCCCTCTCCTGTTAAAATTTATGTTTTTGAATAGGTAATACACGCAAATGAACAAAAATAAAGTACAAAAAATGTACTATGAAAAAGAGGTGTCTCTATCTCTCTCTCCTGACCCCAAACCACCTAGCTGTCCTCCACAGAAACAGTCACCAGTATCTTCTGTATTGTTCCAGAGATATTGTATGCATTTACACACATTTACATTTATCTTCAGTTTTTCAATCCATCTACAAATGCTAGCATATCTTACATGTTGCTGTTTTCATCTTGCTTTCTTTTACCTAACAATATGTATTGGAGATCATTCAATAGAGAAGACTCAGCCTTTATAAAATATTTGATACATGCAAAATTATACAGAAGTATAAATTATGAAGCATAATGTTAAAATGTACATCTACAAATAATTACTCAACTTAAAAACTGTAACATTAACAGTACCTTTTAATTTATCATGTGCTACTCCCTAAATGAAGGCCCACTTCCTCCTCAGAGATAACCGTGTTCATGAAATTTGTATTAATCGTGCAGTTGCTTTTCTTTATAATTTTAACTAACATGGGTGGATTCCTAAATTTAGGTATTATTTATTATATGTGGTTTTTTGGGCTTGTTTTGACTCAATATTATGTTTCAAAAATTAATCCATGTTGTTGTGTCTAGTTGTAGCTCATTCATTTTCGCTGCTATACAACAGCCCATTGTGTGAATATCCTGTAATGGACATTTGGACTGATTCCAGTATTCTCCAATTATGAACAAGCACCATGAATATTTTTGTACATGTCTGCTAACGTACATTCACAAGAATCTCAGTGGGCGATAAACAATCAATTTAGTGGGTCAAGATAAGCATTAAAAAACTGACAGGAAAATATGTCATTTCATTAAACATATTGGTAAGTACTGTTTCATTAAACATTTGTTTCAGTTACACATATACAGATACATGTGCATATTTATATATGGCTTTGTAGTAGTATTCACTATTGTGGCTTTCTATCAACAAAGACTGAAAGAGTTCTGGCCCTGATGGAATAACTGGTACCAGATCAGTCTTCCCTCATTAACCTACCATAAATTGGATGAAATACATGAAGCAACTGTTTCAGATGTTAGACAACAGACAGCATAGGACTGTGATCCCTAAGATAAAGAGAACACATAAGGTAAGCCTCAGGACTGCCCCAGCTTTCTGCCTGGAGATACCTTCAGGACTGCCATATAGGGAGGTGAGCTTAAACAGGGCATGGTGGCCAGGCTGAGCAGAGGAGGTAGAAACCAGAGCTGATGGCTGTTAAGGTGGCTGAATATGCAGGCAAAGTATAGGAAAGGAGGAAGTTGTAGAGAGCTGAAGCTCCATAAATATACACAGGGGTCCCTTTTAACCCACTTTAGCTGAATAGTAAGCTCCACATGTGCAGAATAAGAAACTGTGAGGTCTGGAAGAAACGAGCGACTACAGAGCTGAATGACAGAGGTCACACAGTGCTGGGAGCAACGTTCGAACTAGCTAGATTTGTGAGACCTCACTGAACACCCTGGGTATTCAGTTGAGACCGCTTGCCCTCCAAGAAAAGCTACACTTTATGAATTATGAATTACTCTAGTCCTAGAGTAAAGGTTTCTCTAGACCTCCCTTAACAAAGCTTAAAAATAAGCTTTGATGGCATCAAGCTGATCTGCCAGTAAATTAACTGCCTGCCAGAAAAAAAGCCAACACTCTTTAAAAGAAGATAACAAGATTCAGACTCAACAGTGTCTAACATGTAACTTAAAATTACTGAAAATACAAAAAGCCAGAAAAATTTAATCCACAACTAAAAAATGTCAATAGAAACAGACCTAGAAATGACTGAGATGTTGAAATTAGCAGACAAGGCCTTTAAAACTGTTATTATAAATATAATCAAGGATGGAAACAGAAAGACGGGCATAATATGTAAACAGATGGGGAATGTCAGTAGAGAAGGGGAAGCTACAAAAGAGGACCAAATGGAAATTCTAGAACTGAAAAATACATCCGAAATGAGAAATTTACTGGATAGGCTTAATGACAGATTAGACACTTCAGAAGAAAAAGTCAGTAAACATGAAGAAAGGGCAACAGAAACTATCCAAACTGAAGCATAGAGAGAAAAAAGCCTGAAAAACAATAACACAGTTTAGATGACCTGTGTTCTAAGACATGTTTAATCATTTAAAGCTCCAGAGGAGAGGAAAGGGAGGTTGAAAAGAATAATTATTTGAAGAAATAACGGTTAAAAATGTTCCAAATTTGACAAAAAAATATTAACCAACAGATCCAATAATCTCAACAAACCTAAGCAGAATAAATAACAAAGAAAACCACACTTAGGCATATCATTAGCAAATTTTTGAAAACCAATGATGAAGGGAAAATCTTAAAAGCAGCCTGAGAAATGATGACACATTACATATACAGGAATGAAAATAAGAATTCTCATTAGAATGAAAGCCAGAAAACAAACAGAACATCTTAAATGTGCTGAAAGGAAAAAAAAAAAATACAAAAAACCAAAAACCCTGCCAACCAGAATTCTATATCCAGCAAAAAAATCCTTCAAAAATGATGGCAAAATAAAGATTTTTCCAACTATAAAAGAGAATTCTCTCAGCATACCTGCACTACAAGAAATTATAAAGTAAGTACTTCAGACTGAAGGAAACTGTTACCAAAACTGAACCTACACAGAGTAATGAAAAGCACTTGAAATAGTAAAAAATGTGGAGATATATATATATATATATATATTTCTCAATTCTTAACTTATTAAATTATATTATCATACCATATAGAAAATACGTTCACCTGTTGTTCTAGGATTATATTCTTCTCTCGCTCTGCATTGAGAACCATTCTCTTTGTATACTCTAGTTGCTTCTCTAGAAGAGCACAGCGAGACTGGGCTGAACTTAACTGTATACTTATATCTATGAAAAAGACAAAATAATGAGTCAATTAGTTGGTTATCACATAGATTAGAGAGCTGGGTATCATGATAAATACATTATGTGAACTCAATCAAGAACTAACAGTTCAAAGCTTCTTTAGTTCTAAGTCTCCCCCTAGGGACTCAAGGACATACTTCTGAAAGTAAAGGATGGCTGTGTGGGATGATAAATATTCTAGTTATTCCTAGAAAATGACACCATCTGGAAAAACAGAAGATCTGAAGTCTCTTCCTTATCATCACATTTCTACTCTTTCAGGAAACTCAGGTATACGCATTCTATCATTCCTATTTTCCTCTGCTCTTCACTACTTACAGCACAGTCAATTCCTTAAGGAATAAGAAACCCCTTTCTAATCCTTTAACTTATTACTTTCCTCAGTTCTTTCTTCCATTTTTTTTTATTGTCTTTCTTCTATTTTTGTCCAATTAGAAAATTTTTCTTTCCACTTCTTCATTTTATTTGTAAGTCAAAATACAAACTTAAGTCTCGTTTATGAAGGTGAGTATAGTGTCACAGTAAAAAAAAAGGTTCTAAGTTTTAAGTGAAAATATATACCATAAAGGCTTATGTCCTAAATCTCTAAAACTCGTGTCCAAATGTCTTTTCATAATTTCCAGAGACCTCCACCTATTGCCCAATCTCAAATTTTATGAAATTATTTTTTATTCATTTTTATAGTTTTTATATTGTTTAATTACTACTGTTGCTTTATATTTTCCAAATAAAAATAGTTCTAACTGAAAATATAAAGCATTCTAGTTACATTATGGATTATACTGTATTTTGTTGGTTATTCTGAAAATATTCCAATTTCTAAATACAACTTGCCTAAGAACTTAATTTTTCTTTTGATCTAAGAATATATCAACTGCCCCCAAATATCAAAATGTCTGAGAACTAAGGCCTCAAGGTCTGCATGTATATAAGAAAGATATTTCAGTAAATCTGTTTGGACTGGGAATATTACTTTTAAACTGTAAACTTTAGTAACCCCTCCATTTCTGGGAACTACTGCATTTTCTTACCTTTTTTCTGCTTTATCAGTTCCTGGTGTGCCAGATTTCGCTCATTTGTTTCATTCTCCAAGGCCTTTTTATACTGTGCAGCTTCTTTGGACAGTATGTTCAGGTTATCTTCAGCTTGTGTTCTCTCTAGCTCTAAACGATGAATCTTGTCCTGAAGAGTTTTTAGGGCTAAAATAAGAGCTGCTGAAAAACAAAAATTTGCTTGAGGCTTTAAGTTGGAGTTTTTAAGCACTGACAATCGCAGTAACATGTAAAAACGGGCAGTATATTTTTGTTAGTGAGCCAGAAAAATGTACAGTAATGTATATTCCTCATAAAATAAAAAAATAATAAATCACTAAAACTCTAAAGAGGGACAAATTTTCTCTAACATATCTTTTAAAAACAATATATCCATGATTGTATTCAGTGATTTTCTAGGGTTCAGAATGATAATAACTGCAATCTTAATTTAATAAAATAAATATTTTCAAATCTCAAATATATCAAACCTCAAAAGAAGACAATGTCAAGTCTGGGTGTATAAGAGTCTGGATATGGATAAAGAAAGTTAAAATACAGTATATGCTACTTAACATGGAAATTTAGGATTAAAGTTAAAGGTTTTTCTCAATCTTTGATGTATTCAGTTTTAGTCAAATCTCGGTCATTTATCATTTCAATGTCCAAGATATAGTGTTAACAATCAGGATCTATTAGGTAAAATATAGCTTCTTCCATTAGAAAAAAATATAATTTAATTGTTTACCTGATGTTAGGATTGAATGATTATAAGTAGTAAACATGTACTACTGTGATTTCTATTCAACTATATTAATATCTTCTTAGTTCAGATAAGTTCACAGTTATAAATTTTCAAATATTATTTTATACTTTCTATTAAGTTATAACTTAACTGCTAAACTACCAAAATAGAGGTGAAAGGAATACAAATAATTATTATAGGTTAACTTTAATATAGTTTAAAGCTAATTATAGTCAGTCCTGGGTTACGAATGAGATTCATTCGTACGTATTTAAGTCAAATTTGTAAGTTGGAACAAGTACATAAGTTCTTCTTTAGCCTTACTTTAGTGCGAGAAAAGGCTTGAAGACGTCTCAATAATTTCAAAGCTGCACGTGCAGCAAATGAAGGTGATTGTGATGAAGAATTTGTTGTGAGTAGGGGTTGGTTCAATCCTTTCAAAGTGAGGGCAAATTTACATAACATTAAACGGCAAGGACAAGTTGTCTGTAAGTAGGTAAGCAAGACGTTTGTAACCCGGGGACTGTCTGTAAAAAGATATTTGCTAGAGATTACCATTTAGTTTTTAGAAATGAGATACAGACATGACATTTAGGGCTCTTTATATGATATGTAAGGAGTTCCTGGGTGGTGTAAAAGGTTAATGTGCATGGCTGCTAACCGAAAGGTTGGTGGTTAGAGTCCACACAGAGGCATCTCGGAAGAAAGGCCTGAAGATCTATTTCCAAAAAAATCAGCCACTGAAAACCCTATGGAGCACAGTTCTACGCTGACACACATGGGGTTGCCATGAGTTGGATCGACTCAATGGCAACTGGTTTATATGGTATCTATAGCTGGCTTATTGATTTGGATAATTTTTTTTTGTCATTGTTTTAGTCCATAAAGCTAGTCTATTTATTAATGGCAACCTTTAGTATAGAATATTAAAAAATAACATGATAATCAGCATCTTAGAAAATAATTTGTATAGTATATAACATATGCCTGGAGACATGAATATTTTACTAATTCAGTTTTAAGATCTTCCCAAATTTACATTTATAAAGTTACTTTTATTTTGTAGTTACTCCCATATACTGCCTTCCTAAGGGATTTTCAAGGGTGATTTTGGATATATGTAATCTTTTTTTTAATTAAGACCTTTATTAACAGGTGCTTGCAGTTCGCTGACTTTTTGAAAAAATCAAGTTGTAAACTTTTATTACAAATTAAAAATGAGATTCTTAAACATCTCAACTTGACCAGATATGAAACAATTTAAAAATCTTTAAAGGTGTACTGAGAAAAACCAGGCTTTTTAAAAAACACATTTGTCCTTACCAATAAGAGGTGTCTTTAGGTAAAAATAATAAAAACCTCATGTGCATAGATAATGCAGGTAGTTCCAGTTATCTGGTCAATGAGAAAAAAGGAAGCACTTAGGGTCTTCAGCTCCAATCTTCCATTCATTTTTTATTGCTGGAATTTCATATTCATTTCTTCTTGTTGGATGACTAAACTGGATGATGGTAGAGATGGTAAGCCGGCATTTACTCAGCCCAGCCCTGCTTACCCTCTGGAGTGCACGGATTCTCAGCTGGTGGATCTGCTGCTTTTGTCTCTGCCATCTTGTGGTTTAGGGTTTTCTAGGCTTCTGCGTCGGTACCAACGTTGAGGTAACTGCTAACCTTGGGTCTCATGTTGATTTTCCTTATCCTCTTCATTGCCGTCCTCTCTAGGCTGTCTTTGGTGAGGAGGGCCCCTGCAAAATTGTAGTCTGCAACCCCGAAACATATTCTGTCTCACTGGTCTACCTCGTTCTCCTGCACCCTGGGTGTCAGCACCCTTCATCACTACTCCCTGCACAGGATAGTTGGAATACTGCAGTTGACGCCCACAGGGTCTCTGCATGTAGTAAGGTGGGAACCGTGGGCTGCTGTAAGGCCGATGCGGTTGGGCCTGGCCTTCGGAAGCACTCTCCAATCCCTCATTCTTTTTGCCTACTCTCACTATTCTGGTAATTCTGTTGGTAATTGGGGGGAGGACCCCTATAATGGTTACCATGGTCTGCTACATATTTACTGCCTTGCACTGGAACTCCACCTGGGTCTGTAACATTTGCTGCTGTTTGTCTATCTCCTGTACTGCGAAGGTGCTTCCTGGGGTTATTCTTCTTTATGGCAGTCTGGTGAACAAATACATTTTCCTTGGAGTCATTTCTGTTGATGAAACCATATCCGTTTCTTACATCAAACCATTTTACTGCTCCCAAAACCTTCGTTGGGATGATCTTTTTGTTGCCGCCGGCCGGCACCGTTGATGTGAGGCTGCCCGGGCCGCCGCTCCCTGCTCCCTGCGCCGCTGCCCATGGTGCCGGGCTTGGTGTTAGCAGCGCTGAAGGCGGGGCGGGGGCAGCGGCTGGGTTTCGGCCTCACTGCTCATGGTTGCAGTAGTGGTGACTGGGGTCAGCTGCGACTGCTGCAGCTCCTCCGGGGCTGTGATGGTAACTAGGCTGGCTGCAGCAGTGGGGCTGCTCAGGGCTCTCTGGGGTCCGCTCTCTGCTCCCGCTACCCATAGAACTCAGATATATGTTATTTTTGAATCTAACCCTTTAGTAAGACACAACTCTACTAATGGACTAGCATTCTAAACATCTAGTTAAAAAAACCCAAAAACTAAATCCACTGCCGTTGAGTTGATTCTGACTCATAGTGACCCTGTGGGACAGAGTAGAACTGTCCCATAGGGTTTCCAAGGCTGTATATCTTTACAGAAGCAGACGGCCACATCTTTTTCCCCTGAGCAGCTGGTGAGTTTGAACCACCAACCTTTTGGTTAGCAGCTGAGCTCTTAACCACTGTGCCACGAGGGAGGGTTTAATTTGACCTTTATTCTTCAAAGAGTATTTTCCTGTTATCTAATGATGTTTCTATGACAAACTTGTGATATATGTCTTGCTGGCTATATTAATTTTTATTTTACAGCTGAAGAAGCCAAAATAAAAAATGTTAAGTGTCTTGTCTAAGTTCATAGAAACTTTTAGCAACAGAATCAAAATTAGGAATTTCATTTAGTCAAATATACAATCATATTACTTATTTTCTACACAAAAATGAAAGGTTTTATATAAAATATTTTGTACATTCCCCTAATTTTATATAAGACTTTATGTTAGCATTACCTTGGTTATTTGGACTATAAAACATTTTAGGAGGGGTAACTTCCATGTTCACAGGGTGGCAATTCTGAGATGTTTCATACGGGGTGAATGATGGAACAAATACTCTTTCTGGAGGTTTAAGATAGCTTCCGACTATACTGTGCATTAATTCAGAATCCATTACCTGTAAAGAATAAAGGGATGATACAGTATAGCATCATTCTTTCCTACCTGAGTGACAAAAATATCCAAAAATTAAGGTAATATTTTAACATAAATGCATAATCATATTACGTGGAGTTGTATCTTTATGAAATTAATGATCGTAAATTCAACTATAATAAGCTCAGCAAAAAAAAGAAAGAAAAATGACTATTTGCTGTATAAACAGTTTGGGCAATTCTGCCTGCTTTTCAATGAACTATGCCTTAGAGTGGGCGTGACAGGGATGATGTGAATTTGTTGGCTTCTAAGTTGATCACAGGTTCCATGTACCTCTCATAGTCTGAGCACCTCTCCACAAAGAGAGTGATTACAGGGTTTAAAGAGAAAGTGTATATTCTAAAAGACAATACAGCTTTTAAACATAAGCCAACCATATAATCTGATTCTTTAATATTGACTGTTGGACTCCACTGTACTGCCTTCCTAACGGATTTTCAAGGGTAATTTTGGCTATATGCAATTTCTGAATCTAATTCTTGAATAAGACGTAACTAGAAGGATTTCAAATCTGAAGAATCTAAAGTAGTCTTATTTTTACTTTCTTTATTTTAAGGCGAGCCCTCTTAACCATCCAAGCAGGTAGTCTTTTGCCTAACTTTTCAAATCATTTTATTGTCCTTTCTATAATTTAAATCCTTTAGAAATGTATTCTAGTTAATAGATTCTAGTCAATGTTAATTCATAACTATATTAGAAGAAATGGAGTAATAATTGTTCACACACACACATACACACACACAAATAACTCACCAGCAGGGATTCTGTCTATGTACTTCAGAATTTCACAGAACACAGAAGGCACAGTTTTAAGCAAGAAAGCTTGTTTTAAAATGCAAATCCAGGAATTCCATTATACAATTAGCCTATCTTAACTTTTGAGAATTACAAATATTCTGTGATTTCACTACTTTTCCAATTCACAAGGTAAAGGAAGACAATTCCCATGACTTTATTTCCTGGAAGGACACACTTCACTTCCCAGGATTTTCTACTTTAGCCATCGTCATGACTGGCTATGTTATAGGACATTCTGAATGGTCTGAACTATGCTTGGAGACCTTAGAGGTTACAGGGCCTAAGAAGTCTTGTTAGAATAGTTATCCTTTGATTTGGGGAGGCAACCTTTTTTTTTTTTTCTATTGTCATTAGCACCAGCTATCATTTACTAACCATGTCTCCACTCCAGGTTGTTGCTGCTCAGACACTCTCTGCTCCCCATGGGAGACTGCATCTATTTAAGCTGCTCTTCCCTCAAAAAACAGGAAAGTAAAGTTAGTCACAGCTGGGTTCACAATGAAGTGGAGGTCGGGCCTCAAAGTACAGAAGTTTTGAAACTGGTTGTCATTCTTCAGAGAGAGTAGGTGGATGAAGCTATCCGAAGAAAAATTAGAGCTACTTAAGAGATTTAACTAATTTTTCAGCTCCTGGTGGGCTTCTATGAGAATGTATAAAAAGAATGAAGTTTTGGCATCAGTAGTTACAGACTGAAATCCTTGGGAGTGCTCTGCTTCCTCTGTCCCAGACATACTATTATTTTACAAATTGGAATTTCACCAATTAAAAAACTGGTTCAAATTTGAGGTTTTTAATGTATATGAAATAACTATTCAGAAGATGCTGAGAAGTTAAAAATTAGACTGAAGTTTCTTTAAATTAAATGGGTAAACACATATTAAAGTGGGTATGAGCAGAGTAATAACTTACTAGTAGGATGAAAACAAAGTAAAGAAAAAGACAGGAAACCAGTAAAAGAATGAGAAAAGACAAGCTATGCCGTGTCACAGAACACAAGGATTCTCATTGCAATAGGGGTCCCAGCTTAACCTTTATAATCTGGCCATGTGTTGTAAACTGGTGCATAAGCCCACTAGAAGCTTAATTAAAACTCACTTTGAAGGAAGAAGAAACAAATACAAAAAGCTTGATCCAGGATCAAAGCCCTACTTGGCAGAGGAAGGGAGGAGTGATTCTGAGTAGAGCATGATGGTGGTCATTCTAATTCATCTTCGACCCAGTCCCATAGACTTATACGTGGGCCCTGGAAAGAGAGAGGGTTGTAAGTAAAAGCTGAGAAATGTTTCAACAGTATCTCTATAAAAGATTGAGGCACCAGCTGCCCTGCTTTGTATAAGACGTTATATTACAACAGAGGGGGAAGTTGCCAATTGTCTCGGTTCACCAGAGACCATACAGTTTTGGTCTTTTGGTCAAGAGAGAAAGAACAGTTGGAAGGGACATATCTGTTGGCATATATGAGAGAACTTTCTGCAAACAAAGATAGGTGCCCAGGCCCCAACCAAAGCATTCTGGTATGTCTGGTATGGGGCCTACCTGTAGGTAATTGAAAATACCTCAGGAATTCTTGTGGAGCATTTTACAGGTATCTGCAAGTAGTGGCAAAAGGCTGTAACGTGGGCCTCATTTGTTATGGTCTGTTAAAGCCTAGGGAAACTCCGGTTATGCCTGGAATCATCCCTGACAGCTTATGAACAACCAGGGAAATTATTGATTGTCTCTGTGGTTTATAAAATCAAGATATATTAATTGACTGCAACTGAGGAGCCACTACATGAAGAACTATCCCTGAGACAATGTGCTAGACAAAAATACTTTAAAGCATTGTCTTCCTGTGCATTTGTTCACTTGTTCTTGAGTGAAGGACTTGTTCCAAAATGGTCCTTTTTAACAACCAATGTCTATTCCTGCTGGGGGCTGGCTCCACCATCATCTTTGCATAATCATATAGGACTCTTAGGGAAATGGCATTAGGAGGTAATCAGAAATACTTACAGTAGGTTCTTGGAATGGGGATATCTCTGTTTCTTATACTGCTAATTCTTCCAAGTTTGGACTTTCCCTTAAAGAAACTGGAGAAAGAAAGATCAATAGCTCTGTTTCTTTTGTCTGTTTGTGTGTGTGTGTGTCTGTGTGTGTGTGTGTGTATCTGTTAATTTACCTTAAGGGCTAACACAGTAAGGGTTGAGCTAACTCTATCTTATTTTTAATGTCTAGTACTTTAAAGAATACTATTACAACTGAGTGGGGTAATTTCTGGTTAAAGAACTTGCCTTATAGATGCCCTACCAGATATTCCAACCCATTATTTAAATATACGATACCTAAAATGTTAAGATAATGATATAAAAACCAACTGGTCAATGGAAACTAATAAATAAAATAACTTAAAAAAGGAATTAATGATAAGTATTCAACAAGTCGCAATCTACTCGATGGCAATGGGTTTATTCAACAAGTGATGTTAGAAAATTTGGGGACAAATCCAATTAAATATTTATCTCATTCCATATATCTCAATATAAATTTCAGATACACGTTGTTAGGTTCTCTCGAATCAGTTCCGACCCATAGCAACCCCATGCACAACAGAACAAATACTGTCTGGTCCTGCGCCATCCTCACAATCATTGCTATGTTTGAGCCCATTGTTGCAGCCACTGTGTCAATCCATCTCATTAAGGGTCTTCCTCTTTTTCAGATACATAAACCAAAAAACCAAAACCACTGCCGTCAAGTCAATTCTGACTCATAGTGACCCTATAGGACAGAGTAGGACTACCCGATAGGGTTTCCAAGGACAGCTGGTGGATTCAAACTGCCGACTTTTTGGTTATCAGGGGAGCTCTTAACCACTGGGCCACCAGGGCTCCTTCAGATACATAAGAGAGTCAAATGAAAAATAAAATTGAAAAAATGGTGAAAAACATCAGTGAACTGTTAACTGATCTTAGAATGGATATTTTATGTCCAAAAGCAAGGAAGAAAATATAAAGGAAAAGATACAAAGATTACATTAAAATTACTACTACAGCCGGCCCCAGACTTTGTCTACTGTCCCATATAAGCAGAAGCACCTCCTTAAGGTCCAGGTTCTGGGTCATGAGGAAGCAGAAGGTACCCTCAAGGATAAAGGAAGTTCTAGGGCCCATTTATCCCTATGGAACTGTGCATTCTCATTATTTAAAGCCTCATATTTACCCCTTACTTTGCTGCCAGTTTAGCCAAAGATGTTTTAAGCATTTTATAAACAATTTTATAATCTTTTTAATGAGAGGTTTCTCTAAACATCTAATCTTCCACATTACTTGAATGAGTAGACTGCAATAGCTTTAGCCAGACAGGTACTACATACTCCAAACATACTAGTTTTACTTACACACACACATACCGATTAAGATTTATGTTTCAAAAGGAAAAAGAACTTATATCTTTCTATTCAGATGTGGTTCTCAAAGCTACTCCATACTGGGAAGTTTGTTTTTCTTCAATAGCAGTAAGTGAATATTATCTGGTTAATCATTAACTAAATGGAGAGTTCACTAAAGGGATTCAGATAATAGAGCATCTGTTAGATCGGTAGAGTGAGAGAAAGAAAAAATATCAGAACCTAAATCACATCCTAAAGCACACTACATATTCAATTTTAAAACATATGCAGTGATTTTACAGGAATACGCAGAATGACTATCAAATGCATCCAGGAGCAGTTTAAATATTATGTTTCAATGTCTATCATGTATAATGTATTAACTATAGCATCAAATCTTACATTTAATATACTCATCTTTTGACACTCAAATCGATTTATTTAACTTAATTTATAATTAACTTTAAAAACAGCCCTTGCTTGATTTGAAAAATCAGCCTTTTGCAGCTATCATAGTAAAGACTTATTCAGGCAAAATGTACCAACAGATGCTAAATCAGGGGTGGGGGGCGCGTTTTGGTAAGGACCAGGATATCTGCGCCATTTTAGTGTCTCCCCCATGGGTTACTTATTAGATGCAAGGAAAAAAACAATAACTATACAGTAGAGAAATTGGACATCATCTTGATAGGATAAATAGAATTATTATGTGCCTTTGGATGTGACACCTTGAGAAGGACACATCACCTATGCAGTATTCCAACCAGGAATCCATAATCTGAATCTCGTCGTGAGGAAACCTCACAGAAGCCCCAAAGAGAGTCTATTTAAAAAAAAAAAAAAAAAAAAACGGGGGAGAGACTGTTTACTTCAAAAATGTCAATGTCATAAAAGATAATAAAAGTACATCTCCATAAAGCTTTTTAAAAAAAGGACAACAAAAAGCTGAGGAATTGTTTCAGATTAAAGAAGGCTAAAGAACTGTGACAATTAAATGCAATACATAATCCTAATCTATATCCATACTGGAAGGGAAAAATGTTATAAAGAATATTATTGGGCCAACTGACAAAACTGGATTACACATGATGGACTAGATACAAGTATTAATGTTATATTTACTGAAGATGATGTACTGTGGTTGTGTAAGAGAATATCCTTATTTTTAGGAAATGTACACTGATCTGTTTAGATCCATGGTACATGCAATTTACTCTCAAATGTTCCGGAAAAAAATGTGTATAATTATACATTTATATGTGTGTGTATATACTGTATATTAAATGCATATACACAGGTACACACACACATATATGCACACAGATACCCACACACATAGAGAGTGAATGCATGTTAGAGAGAGCACATGATAAAACAAAAGAGGCAAAATATTACCAATAGATGAATCTGGGTAAAGCATATATGGGTATTGTCATGGAATGAATTATGTCCCCCCAAAAATGTGCGCATCAGTTTGGCTGGGTCATGATTCCCAGTATTGTGAGATTTTCCTCTATGTTGCAAATCCCGCCTCTATGACGTTAATGAGGGAGGATGGGTGGCAGCTGTGTTAGTGAGGCAGGACTCAATCCACAAGACTGGATTGCGTTTTGAGGCAATCTCTTGAGCTATAAAAGACAGAAGCCAGCAGAGAGAGAGGGGGACCTCATACCACCAAGAAAGCAGTGCCAGGAGCAGAGCACGTTGTTTTGACCCAGGGTCCCTGCAAGCTCCTAGTCCAGGGGAAGACTGATGAGAAGGCCAACAGAGAGAGAAGGCCAACAGAGAGAGAAAGCCTTCCCCTGGGGCTGATACCCTGAATTTGGACTTTTAGCCTACTTTACTGTGAAGAAATAAATTTCTCTTTGTTAACGCCATCCACTTGTGGTATTTCTATTACAGCAGCACTAGATGACTAAGACAGGTATTCTTTGTAATATTCTTGCAATTTTTCTGTAAGTTTGAAATTATTTCCAAATAAAAAGTTAAAAAATACTTCCTGAGAATAAAATAAAACATTACACCTTCATAAGAGAACATTAACACTGTTTTTTAAAACGCCGTTATTGTGTTATACTTTACAGCAAAAGTAATTATGTTAAATAGAAAAATAATTTAAAATACAGTGGTACCCCTTTGGAGAATAAGTCCAGCAACAACTTTGTGACCTAAGCATATTACCTAAAAATTATATATAGCTATATTTTGGGAAACGTAATATTTTAAGTTCTACACAATAATATGTTAGTTAAGCAAAATTACACTATCAAAGATTTCTCCATATATTAACAATGATTAATTCTGGGTAGCACTGTTTTTTTTGGTTATTGCTGTGTGAGCTTTTACTCTTAGGTTTGAACTTTTCTGTATTGCTTAATTTTATAATGAGCGCTTCTTGTTTTAACAAAATTTTTAAAATTACTAAAGCAATTCTACTGTATTAATGATTCAAACTTAAGCTAAAGAAGCACAAAACGTAAAAGTTAAAGTAAGAAGGAAATGTATTTTGCCCTAACCAAACAAATCATACATGGCTTGGTACAAATACAATATCTGTTGCTTTCTACTAGTATCCAACCTCACCTTCCCCTAGTCTATGAGTTTCTGCAGTCACCTTCCCTCAGCAAACATCCACCAACAAATTATATATGATACATTTAATTTCTATACTGTTGAGAATCTTGAAGGGAATAACAACTTTTTTTTTTTTTTTAATTTTCCAAGTCTAAGAGAAAGAACTGGGAAGTAAATAAAAAGTTACGAATTTAACATAAATGAAGTATCTTAAATGATGTTGAATGAAAGATAAGAAGATGGCAGCCAGCACCATGACAGCCAAGAGCATAGAATTGGAGAGCTCGTTGCTAATAATTCCTATTTCTATAACTGCTATTATAATGTCTGAAGATTTGAGTGTCTGATCCAATAGCTCCTCAGAGCTATTCAGTAAACGTCTCAGTGATTTAACATACTAGAGTAGTATGCGTCTAGCTTAATTTATACCCCCCAAAATCTAGTACCTGCTATATTTAGGACATGGAAGCCCTGGTGGTGCTGTGGTTAAGAGCTACTGCTGCTAACCAAAAGGTCAGCAGTTCAAACCCACCAGCTGGTCCTTGGAAACCCTATGGGGCAGTTCTACTTTGTCCTATACGGTTGCTATGAGTCGGAATTGTCTTGATGGCAATGAGTTTGTCTTTTTAATATACAGTTAGGACAAGGAGCCCTAGTGGCACAGTTGTTAAGTGCTGGGCTGCTAACTGAAAGGTTTGCAGTTTGAACCCACCATCCACACCGTGGGAGAAAGACGGGGCAGTCTGCTTCCATAAAGATTATAGCCTTGGAAACCCTATGGGGCAGTTCTACACTGTCCTATAGGGACTGGATGGCAATGGGTTTGGTTGGTATATTTAGGACACTAAGTTCTGAGTACGTAAAAATAAATAAAGAAAAAAGTGATATCAATGATATCACTATGTGGGAGGCAGACAAGTTAAAAACAAGATATGATTGAACGGGATCAGTTTCTATAACAGAAACATATACAGAGTGTCGTGGGAGCACAAAGGAGATTATCTAACTCTCCCTGATTGTGGAGAGATAAGTATAGCCAGAAACAATTTGGAATTACAAACAGTTTGAAAGATGAGTTTAGGTAAACATGATAGAGTGAACATACACACTAACTTCTTTGCTCCTTCT